TCAGTAAAATATATGATTTGTATTTTTGAAAGTAAAAGTGTAATAAAGATTTGAAAATAAATATATGAAATCTCCGCTATATATCCGATAATATAATATGAATATACTTTTAATCAAACGCACCATTACTTCAATCAATACTCAGGCCATAAAACCGAGACTTCGTTTTTGTGGTCAGAAATGATAGTAAGAAATAATCAGAGAATTAATTGTCTATAAATAAAAATGAGCTCAAAATAAACATTTCGATGTAATGTCAAATCAATAAGAAATAAATATTATATTAAAGGAAACCTTATAAGAGAGCACTTTATCTCAAATTTTTAATTATTGATACAAATATTGTTTTTTAAATCTCGTTTCATTGGTCCAAAAAATTGTCTATAAATTTATGAAACCAATCGATATATGAATACAATTAGAAATTGGTCTAAAAATCAATTTCATACATAATAAAAGCGTGTCATAAGTTTGACTTAATTTTTAGTCTATTTTACAAATTTTGCACATTTAATGGCCTTTGCTTTAAAAGATTGTATTTAAGTCTGTATTTCAATGTTTTATATTACAGATCTTCTAAAGATATAATAAATGCATAAAAGTCTTAAAAAAAGTTATTAATTGTTTTCTATAAGAAAAATGAATACCAATAGAAAAATTGAAAAAAATCTAAAAACATTCAAATGTTTCCTAAATATAAGTTCATTAAATAAAATGAGAACAGAATTGTCGACAGAATTAGACATTGAAATGAAATAAAGACAGAAATGTTAGATAAATGTTGTGTTTTAACTGTAAGGCTATGTTATGTACTGTAGTTATAGTGTTGTATTTGCTGTTTGATTTGATTGACGACTCAAATACTGTGTTTGATTTATTGAAAAATTGTAAGAATTGTGTGAATATTGTTGTTTTCAAACATTTCTTGAGTAAATCTAAGAAAGCGTTGAAATTTTAGCAGAGATTATAGAGTTAAGCGAATAATTGCAGACAATTTGCAGTACAGATGTCACAGAAGAAGATAGTAATTGACGTGAATTTCATTTGACTGGTTATACAGTAGTTGACTATAACTCGTGTTTTACAAATAGTGTAATATTCTGTTCACAACTTATGGTTACATACAATCAAATTAATGCAATATTTAGTGAATAAATGCAAATGTGATGAATAAATGCCGTTTTCCAACCGTTTCTCTCAACTCTGTTCCCGTATTTTCATGTATTTTTGATTTCTCTGTACATCAAATCACAGTTTAGTCACTCATAGACGCACCGATAGATAGGTAGCACTTATAGCCCATTGCCGTCAATGATCTTCAATTGCTGGACAGTAGTACTGACCCAGAGATGAGCCGTTCCTTCACTGAATGGTGACTAACAATGAGTTTTTGTCTCTTATATTAATATTTGCTTTGATTCCAGTAATTATGAAATCAATATAATATTCAACACATAATTAACTTAAATATCTCTTTGTTTTATAAACACATTAATTAATTAATGAATCCTTTCTTTACAAATTTTACTCTATCTATCGATTGAGTCATTTTGACGATAACTAATTGATTACTTGAATTGAATTTCACTCAATTGCTCGCAAACCAGTCCGACATTTGAATAGATTTGATGAAAATGTTTACTAATTCTTTTGATAACCAATGGTTTCATTGGATATAATTGTGATCATTGTTTGGCAGACAAGACACCGATGGGGCGATCGTTGCGATGAACTCAATGATGACTAAAACAGAGCTTTTGGTTATAATGTATGCGAATGTGTGCAGAATTGGCACAAACACTGCAATCACTGCAATCACTGGCAGTCCATCACTGGCTGTCCATCACTGGCTGTCCATCACTGGTGACGCTTCATATGAAGAGCCAAATGGTCGGAACGGGAGAAACAGCGCTCACAATGACTGCATTTGAATGGTTTGCTTCCCGTATGCTTTCGGAAATGACGGGTCAGTTCATCAGATCTGGCGAAACGCCATTCGCATCCCTCCCACGAGCACTTGTAGGGCTTCTCTCCTAAAACACACAATTAGCCAACAATTAGCCAACAATTAGCCACCAATTAGTCATTACACTCAACAACACATCCATTAGCGATATAATTAGCATTCAGTCAAATAGGACTTAATTTTTATTTTCAAAATCAAATAAGAGTAAGAATTGAAAACAAGTCAAATTAAAAAGTCTAAGTATCATGGTCAGTTAGCAATACAAACCGGTGTGCGTTCTTTGATGGGCCTTAAGATGTGATGATTTGGTGTAAACTTTTTTGCATCCATTGAACTGACATTTATGAATACGTCGTTTGGAGTCGGGGTTGATCTCAAAGCGACCTCTGGATCGGGAACTACATTGCGAGACATTTGAAGGCGAGACAGAACTGGTGTCCGTTTTGGGTGATCCCTCTATTGCGATGACTGATGGGTCGACCGACTCGTCAATGAATGAGGTGTCGCTCAAAGGTATGGCATCTGTGGTGACAATCGTGAGGGGAACGGTGGCACCTTCGCTGATGTGGTGCTGCTCTACAGTCCTGTCAATCAAATTCACTTTCAATTGGGTTTCTGGAGAGGACGGAGGCGTTAGAGTAGAGGTCGAGTCGTCGTCTTCATTGTGATGCTTGCGAATCAGATGCGAGTGATTCAACTGATGATGACTTGTGTGACTGTTTTGCAGATGAACTGAAGAACAATTGCTTTTAGACTCCGACGAGATCTTGGCTATAGTTCTTCGCGGAGAAGAACTCTTATTTCGTTTATTACTTGTTTTAATCTGTTGTTTGAAAGTCGTGGACACAATCGCGGCCAGAGTCTGGGCGTCGCAACTGTCCCACGAGATCACACTACTGCCACTCGAACTCAATCCCGAGTCCGAGTTCTTTTCGTTCAGATCCAGATCTGAGACACTCATCCGGTCTTCGCCGCAACTGTCGGTTCCGCACAAAGTCAGTGACGATGACTTCTCGTCTTCCGTGTCCGACTTGTTCTCTATGTCTGTTATAATCATTTCGTTTCTCCGGTTTCCGGTCATCAATGGCTTCGAAAACATATCCCACGGATCTGAAGGAAACTGATCTAAAGACCTGATCTTAGGCTCGTCTTTCAGGTATCGCTCCATCTCTAGCATTGTCTGCAAAAGCATTCAAATGATTCAAATTTATTAGTCTTTCAGGTTTTAGAGACAAACTTATTAATTAAGATAACGTTTGTTTTGATAAAGTATTCAAATAATTACTCAAAATAATACATTTCAATGATATTTATCGTATGTTTTAGTATAAAGTAATTTCTTTGGTCACCCTCCGGTTCCTCAAATGCCATTTTATAAACCATTTATCATAAAAGTGAAGTCAATTTGACATGGGATATTTTAAAATGCATACTAATGTAGATTATCATGAGATCTTAATATTGAAACAAATATAGATTTCAAAATAGTTATACAATCAAATTCTTTATAAATTCTTTATATGTTTTATAAAAATATTTAAAATTTATTATTTATTTTGAATAAAGTCAAAAAACTGTCAAAATAAAAATGTTTGTTATTTTATTCGTAAGAAAAATGAGTTTTTTTTGTGTAAAACTACTTGCGATTATTAAAAAACATACAACGAATTCAATATTAAGGGTTAGCAACAAATGTTTTGTACCTTAATTTAAAAATAATAATAAAGTTTAAAATATTAAAATTTCAAAGGCAATGATTAAATACAAGTTATCGTCCAAATTGGTAAATACAATAGTGAACCACAAACATACTGCAAAAAACTGGTAATAAGGAGCCCGGGGCTATAATTCAAAAAACTAAATGCATTTGAGATTGTTTGATGTCCTCTCATCCTTGAACTCATCTCTCTCTCTCTCTCTCTCTCTCTCTCTCTCTCTCT